ACGAAAAAAAAAACATAAAGTTCAACTATAAGGAGAAAGTGGAGGGACTGGCCACATTCTTGAATTTTGAATTTCATGATCTTTGAAATGGATAGATGGACTTGTAGGAAAAGCATTGAACCAAGTCTTGATTTATACAACCATTTGAATTTTGAATTTGAAGAAGGGGTCCACCACATGAATGCTTCTTGGATAATGTTCACCAACCAAACCCCCTCACAACTACCTCCCAACCAAATTCCCAACTCTCAATTAACTATCAACTACCTTTTAACCACCTTTCAATGAACTTCTAGCAAACTTTCAATTAACTTTTGAAATTTAAAATTACAATTATCATTGGAATAAAACATCATATGAAGTGTTGGTGATCTTGGGTTGTTATGCTTCTTGGAGGCCAAGAAGTGAGGCACCTTTAGAGTAAGTATAAACTCCCAAAAGAAAATAGAAGTGAGGGAAAGGAGAGGAAACCAAAAATAATAATTCAAACCATTTTGATTAAAATAGAGGCTATTTATACTACTTTGGTAGACCAAATTTACAAGATAGACATGATCTACCTAACACCTGCATTTAAAATAACTGAGATAAACCCGATCTACTTCAACAAAAAGAATAAAAATAAAATAATGCTAATTACATATTGGTGCTAATTACACATTGGTAGACCACTTTTAATGTTGCCAATCTTGACTATTTTGAAATTCTTCTTCTTCTTTGATAGACTTTCATAATTGTTGGTTGGTCCTTCATATTGGTACCCCATTCATCATAATTTGCTCTTGGAGGTGACCATCCATTCAAATAAGGATGTGAAATCCCAAATCTCTAGCGTATTCACATGCTCCATTATGTTCTTGATTGGAGTTGTAATCTTGTACTACATAACTATGCTACCTACAATGGACAACATTTCTTTTGTGCTTGCTTACCACTACTTGTTCTTCCTTTTGACATTCCTACACTTGTTACCATTGGTCTGGGCTGCTCTTGAACGCTTCTAAAGCCTCCATACATAGCAATGCCATCATTAATCACCATTGCCTGTTCCTCCAACTAACATTGCTACACTGTTTCCTCTAGACCTTGAATCTCCTACAAACAAATAGAATTCCAACTTCATTTGACGCTAATATCTCAAGGTCGCAATTCCATTTTATTCATGGCATAGTAATGCCATTGGAGCCTGCATCACAATCTACTCTAGTATCAATCCACAATATCAATTTATTCATGGCATAGCAACGTCATTGGAATCTACAACACAATCTATTGTTAGATCCATCCGTTATTTCACCTTAGGATCTATTGCCCCATGCTCTACCATTCTTCTCCATGCTGACCTTGGAAATCGGAATCGACTGCTCCATGCTCTACCATTCTTCTCCATGTTGCCTGTCAAGTCATTCACAATCTTTAGTTTGCCCCACACCTACTCAGGACAAATTACCAGCTGCCTTTCTTCTGTTTTTGCTCTTATAACCCAACTACAAAGCCTTACACTTGGGGGTTGAACAAGGAAAATGATAAATATGGGGTTTGGGTCTAAATTCAATTAGAATAGATATACCTGACCAGCACCATTTTAAATATTAGCCCAATACTGGACTGGTACAACCCGTTTCCACCGATCTCCAACCTCTTGCAAATTAAAGCGGTCCTATCACATGTAGGTTGCATAAAAACCCAAATCAAACTAGTTCAAGTAAACTTATAATAATTTTGATTTGAAAACGTTGAGCAAATCTATAAGCTCGGTTAATCTAGATTAACTAAGTGGGTGGATCAAGATTGAAGTGATCAAAACCAAACCATTTTGATCACCGTGCAACATATTCATAGTCAAAGAAATAAATTTAACATGGCTACAAATCAGATAAACAATCTAATTAAGCTTAAGGCCCTTTCTATTCAGATAGAGTAATTAGGTTAAGCCTAATTTTCATGGTATTAGGTCAATATCAAATGTCTAAGAAACCCCTCAACATGGCCAAAGTTTACTCCAAATTCATGCTTAAGCAAGAATAAACCAAACGGACCAAAATAATAGTCACCTTACTATAGCTAAACTCCTTCTGAAGTAGGTCAATGTTCATTCCAAAAACCATTCCATGACATTAAACCATAAAAACTTCAGCTTATTTGTAATTAAAATTAACTTTAAACTACTAAATAGCATATCTTCTTATTGGCAACTGTTTGAATAAGGAAATGAACAGTTATTAACAAATACTCGTCTAACAATCAATGAATACAAATATACTGAATAGACCCTCATTTGAAATAAAAACAAAAACTGAAAATATTATTTTGAGAAGTTATTAAAAAAATTAATTAAAAATTTTTAAAAGAGCATAATGTACATAATAATGAAGTAAATTATTGAGATAATTTGATCCAAAAAGTAAAATTATGCTAGCTCTATAAGATGTTCAAATGTAATACTAATGCATCATGGGTTCACATGAGATGCTTCTTGAGAACTAGAGAATTATGAGAGATAATGTCTAAGTTTTATTAACAAAAATATTTTCAAATAAAATTATTTAAACACGAGATGTTTAGGATTGCATTACTTATTAGTGAACGCAGACTTGAAAAAATCACATGGGGTTCAACTATTTATTTTGATTTAATTCACTGAATGGAAGGAGTCCTATATGAAAAATCTTTTAATGAAAAAGTATAAATGAAAAAAAGACTCTTTATGTGATTTTTATTGATCTTCAAAGTTTGTGATCAATAACCATAATAACAAATTCAATGCAATTTAAGAAAAAAAATTTGCCAAATATTTTAGATTACTAAAGATATGTATAATGAAAAATTCACAATTAAAAAGTTAGATATGACTAAAAATTTTACAACAGCAAAAGAATTATATGAAAGAACATTCTAAAATCTATATCTTTTTTATTGATTGCTAAGATACTTATGAAGTGTATTCAAGTTAAGTTTCTTGGTTTATGTCATTTGCCATTATATAAGTTAATTAATAAAATTTTCTTGCAATGAGGAGATATTTGAAAACATAGCAGCCATAAGAATAGTTGGAAAAATATAAGCATCCGATAACAAATTTAGTGAATGCGATATTAATAATTATCAATCAATCAATGAAAATCAAATAATAACTCTGCATAAGTGTTCAAATATCATGGAGATAATATGCAAAGGATGAGGATACAAGCCCGAAAGTTAAAGTTTGCCTGAAAAATAAAAAAGGTGTCTCAAAGGGTAAGCTGTGATAATATATTGGAGATGTAATACTAATAATTTGTTCAAAACTTAAAACTCGTCTGAAAATCGCTGGAATTTTAGTCAACTTCAAATCAAAATCAATTTGCTATACCCAATGATGGCTTGCTCGATTCAGTTTGAGAAAATACATGCACATTAATGACATATGTAATTAATATTGAGTAAACATATTAATATAAGCATATAAATATATTCAATATTCAATACAATTTTAAATTTTGTTTTATTTAAATAAAGAGACTCAAGTCAACTCGAAATTGCTCACTTTTAACTCGAATCGAACGAGTGAGGGCTTGTTTGATCAAACTCGACTGTGAGGCTTGCTCCGTTGAACTCAACTCAATGCCAACATTATTGGGATGAAAAGGTAAATGTTATAGATTATAATTAAACAAGCTATATTTTATGAATATAAAAGTCGGGCCCAAAAGAATTAATAAGTAGTCAAGTCAATCGTAGTAGAAATGAGAATGTTAAGATAGATGTATGCCAAAATAATAGAGGGGTATATATAAATGATTATAAGAGAGTGATCACACGGGAGTGGCACTATTGATGATAAAGTAATGGAATATAGGCCTAAGTAGTTCGGACATGCATAATGGAGGGTAAAAGATGCACGGAAAATATAGGTAAATGAAATTAACATGGAAACTTCAAGAAGAAAAAAAATGGAGTAGAAAAAACATACAACAACAACAACAACATCAAGCCTTTATCCCACTACGTGGGGTCGGCTACATGAATCCTTTTTCTCCATTGTGTCCTATTAAAATTCAAATTCTCGTTTAAATCTAATAAAGAAAGGTCATTCCTAATATTTTCTAACCAAGTCTTTTTAGGTCTACCCCTACCTTTCTTAACATAAGTCAAATCTAATACCTCTACTCTCCTAACCGGGTCATCGCAAGGCCGCCGTTTTATGTGACCAAACCATCTAAGGCGACTCTCTCTAATCTTATCTTCTACTGGAGCTACTCCAACCTTTTCACGTATATGCTCATTTCGTATCCTATCTCTAAGGGTAAAGCCACTCATCCACCTGAGCATCCTCATCTCTGCCACACTTAACTTAGTATTATGCTTCTCTTTTAATGGCCAACATTCGGCACCATAAAGCATTGCAAGCCTCACTACCATCTTATAGAATTTTCCCTTAAGTTTGAGGGGTACATTTCTATCACATAACAAGCCCGATGCATTCCTCCACTTCAACCATCTAACTTGAATTCTGCTGATAATATCCCCATCTATTTCACCATCACTCTGAACAATAGATCCAAGATATCTAAAACGTGTACTCTTATTAATGACTTGATCGCCCAAAGTCACAATCCCCTCACTAGGTCTATTACTACTAAAATTACACTCCATATATTCCGTTTTAGATCTACTCAAGCGAAAACCTTTAGACTCTAAGGTACTAAAACAAAAATAAATGAAGAATGATGAGTTACAAAAAAAATCCTAACTAGTCAAGAAAAGGCAACTAACGATGATGAAGACCTCCATGTTCATAGTGTCATGCCAATTTTTAGGAGAATGATAAAGCTTCATTCCGATTGACATGTGTGAATCAAGTTGCATGTTAATAAGAAATCTTTACCGACAGCTTATTAAATGTTGAATAAAAGAAAAAATAAAGCTTAAACAAATATTTCTACTTGTATCATCAGAAATTTCCATATTATAATGACAAAAGAACAAAATTACAAAGAAAAACATAAACTTTTCCATACCTTTCTACCATTTTCTCCTCTGAAATCTTGTTTATTCCTTCATCCAAGGGTTCAGGCTCTACTATTCTTGAAGAATCAGCAATAGACACATTACTGATAAATGATGAAAGCAATGGATCAGGTGCCGCATGTGAAGGAGTAATCAATCTTGAAGATCCCCCAAGAAGAGATTGTAAGCTCCCATCCCGTACCTCCTTCCTCAAGAAATTAAGTGCACCATGAGAGCCGGATGAACCTTTTCGCAATCTCCTCTTATGCTGAGAGTAAGTGCACATTAAGGAATTCAAGGCAACTTTTAAAAGGAACTAAATCACAAAAGAAAAAAGTTATTCCATGAGGACAGTGCACGCGTAATTAAATGGAAAGTATTGTGCATAATAATTTAACAATAACAAGAGCCACCAGAAAACTGGAATAAAAGGATATCTTGAAGAAATCAGAATCCACACCTACTCCTCCGGAACAAATAGGACATACCTTCAAAATAAGTGAATGACAGAGATGAGAATAATTTCATGTTATGTTACTGTTCAAAAGAAAAATGGAGAGGCAATGCAAAAACTTCTTAAAGGCATCAATGCAATGGAGTATTTTTTGTCTTTATGAGTGCGCCTCAATGTTTTTTATGTGAGGCTCACACAATATGAGATGCACCTCACCTCAATCTTCGTGAGGTGTGAGCCTCAAAATATTTAGGGCTTAGATATTTTATAAAAAAACATTTTCTTATTAACCCATCATGCCATCTCTATCTCTCGGTCTCACAGTTTCACATCCTAAGCTCCTATGATCCTACCACCTTGGCTTGCACATTCCAACCAACTGCCCCCTTCCTCACCACCACCTCCTTCCTCCTTGTCAAGCCTTCTTATTAAACAAGGGTTAATGGTCTTATCTCTTCTTCACAACATCTCTTACAACCGGTAATCTTAGAATTTTTTTTTTTTCTTAAACCCAAAATTTTTAATTTGTTTATAGATATTATGATTCATAGGAAGATAAATATTCTATACATTCAGGAACCTAAATGGATTGGAGAGAAGATTAAGAAGATTGATAGTTTATGATTTACACTATGGTATTATGGTAAGAGTCGTACTAGAAATGTAGATATGATTATATATGAAAGTTTAAATGATAATTTTGTAAAAATTAATAGAATTGGAAATAGAATTATATTTTTAAATATTGTTATTGATGCTAAAATTATTAATATTATAAGTGCTTATGTTCCTCAAGTAGATTTGAATATATGTTCAAAATTAAAATTTTGGAATGACCTAGGATAATTAATACAAAAGATATCTTCTCTTGAAGAAAATTTTTTTATTGGAGACTTAAATGGACATATTGATAAAGTTGTAGAAGATTTTAAAAGTATTCATGGTGGCTATGGGTTTGGAGAGAATAATGAAGGTGGTAAGACCATATTAGATTTATCTTTAACTTATGATTTTGTAATTCCTAATACATTATTTAAGAAAACAAATAAGCATCTCATCACTTATAAGAATGGATATAGTAAAATTTAGATTGATTATTTTCTTATAAGAAAAATAGATCATTTATATTTTAATGATTGTAAAGTTATTCCGAGCGAAATTTTCTGTAACCAACATAACTTATTAGTTTTGGACTTTAAGATGAAGAGGAAGAAAATAAAAAATAATGTAAATGGACTTTTAAAAAATATTAACAAAAATTTTTTTAAGAGAAAGATACTAGATCTTAATATTTTATCTGTGCATGAAAAAGCTAATGTTATGTGGGAAAAAATAGTTAATGACATTATGTTACAAAAGATGTGCATGGAGAATAAAAAAGAAAAGCTCCTAATAGTAAAAATATTTGGTGGTGGAATCAAAATGTGCAAGAAAAAAAATTAAGAATATTTGTTATGAAAACTAGTATAGATATAAAAATTCTGATAATTGAAAAATATATAAAGAGGCCCGTAAGAAATCTAAGAAAGCAATATGTGATGCAAAGATTTTAGCTTTCAATGATTTATATAATAGATTTGATACTAAGGTGGATGAAAGATATATGTATAAGTTAGCCAAATAAAGAAATAAGAGTAGTGAGGATTTAATTCAAGTGAAGAGTATTAAGGATGAAGATTGGAAAACTGATTTTATTAGAAGAGGATATTCAATAAAGGTGGATGAGATATTTTTCTAAACTTTTCAATGAAGATTATAAGAATGGGTTTGACTTTAGTGACCCTAGCACCCTAAATGAAAATATTTTTTTTTTCTTGGTGTATTAGTAAAACAAAAATTAGAGAGACTTTAAAAAAAATAATGTGAGGAAAAGTTGTTGGACCTATTGATATTCCAATAAAGGTGTGAAAATTCTTATGAGATGAAGGAATTTCTTGACTTACTAAACTTTTTAATATTATTTTGAAGACTAAAAAGATGTCAGATGAGTGGAGAATGAGTGTGTTGATCCATATTTTTAAGAATAAAGAAAATGCACAAGATTGTGTGAATTATAGAGGAATTATGTTAATGTGTCATATTTTAATGGAGCATAGGTTGCGGCGTGATACTAATGTTTCTCAAAATCAATTTGGATTCATGCCAGGTAGGTCTCTACTATGGAAGTTATAGATTTATTGAGAGATTTGACGGAGAAGTATAGAGAGAATAAAAATGATCGACATATGATATTGATTGATTTAGAGAAATCATATGATAAAGTTCCAAGAGAAGTTCTATGGCGAGTTCTAGAAGAAAAAGAGGTTAATAATGCTTATATTCAAGTCACTAAGGATATGTATGCAAGAGTTGTTAAGAGTCATGGATTTAGTTTGGGGATCGTGACTTTTTGCTTTAGTCATGTATGTTCTCATTAGATATTTGCAAGAGGTTGTACCCTGGCATATGCTTTTTGTTCATGATATTATTCTTGTTGATAAGACTAGAGAGGGAGTTGAAGGTAAACTTGAATTATAGAGGTCAACCTTAGAGTCTAAAGGCTTTCGTTTGAGTAGATCCAAAACTGAATATATGGAGTATACTTTTAGTAATAATAGATTTAATGGGGAGATTGTGACTTTGGGTGATCAAGTCATTAATAAGAGTACACGCTTTTGATATCTTGGATTTATTGTTCAGAGTGATGGTGAAATAAATGGGGACATTATTAGTCCCCCTCAAACTTAAGGGAAAATACCATAAGATGGTGGTTAGACCTGCAATGATTTATGGTGCAGACTATTGGCCATTTAAAAAGAAGTATAATATTAAGTTAAGTGGGTAGAGATGAGGATGCTCGGGTGGATGAGTGGCTTTACTCTTAGAGACAGAATACGAATTGAGCATATTCATGAAAAGTTTGGAGTAGCTCCAATTGAAGATAAGATTAGAGAGTCTCCTTAGATGGTTTGGTCGCATAAAATGGTGTCCTTCCGATGACCCGATTAGTAAAGTAGATGTATTATATCTGACTTATTTTTAAAAGGGTAGAGATAAACCTAAAAATTTTTGTTAGAAAATATTAGAAATGACCTTTCTTTGTTAGATTTAAATGAGAATTTAACTCACAAGACACAATGGAGAAAAAGGATTCATGTAGTCGACCCCACATAGTTGGATAAAGGCTTGATGTTGTTGTTGTATAGTTTATTTAGGATTTTCTTTGTAATTATTTGCTAGTTCAAATGTTTTTTAAAATTAAAACTTTGTTAGGATTTTTCTAAAATGATAAGAGATAAGTATAAAAGAGCAATGGAACATAGAAAAGAGCCAAAATGGAGACAATGTGGAAGTTGAAATTAGAAAGGAATGAGCAAAAATATATTTATCCAAATTGCAACTACCGTGAAAAAGTTATTAAAGTGGGTGTGTTAGAAAGAGCACCTTTTTATCTTGCACAAAAATGTTAAACTATGTGCCAAAGTTCCTAAAGAAGTGAAAAAAGAGATCCGCATATATATGAACAAGATGACTATATCAAAGCATTTGACACAGAAAATTTGGTGATGGAATTAATATGGAATCTTGTTATGAAAGTAAGCATAGCTGAAAAAATCCCTCTTTTTATTTCCACTAATGTCAAATAAAAGTGCAAGAGGGCCCATGGATCAATTTGGAGGATAACAAGCATCATGGTAAGAGGATAACTCGGAGGATATCTCCTGAGAATGCTGGAGAGGCAGGAAGGCGTGTTTACATGGATATTGGAAAGTTTAACATTTTATTTAATGTGGCAAACTCCACTTATTCTTTTTGCAGATGCTTATGGTTGAGGTCTGAAACTGTTGTCCATGAATGATTTGAGAACTTGGGTATTGAAGGAGGAATTGAACAATACTAAAAAGAAATTGAAGAAATTAGAAGGACTTGGAGTAAGATTGGAATGAATCATGTCTAATGGTTGATCTGATAATTGAACACTACTTTCTTAAAATCTATTGAAGCATCTGATCATGCCAAAGATGTAGAGTATATTTTTGGACTGCTTAACAGAGTGATAGATGAGATTGAAGACTATTGGGTGATACAAGTTGTGACATATAATGCTCGTGCTTATAGGGCAACTAGGAATAGTTTGATGGAGAGAAAACATTTGTCTAGGGCACATTGTGCCTCCCGCATAGATTTGATTTTTTTTAAAAAAAAACTTGGAGATTTATCATAGCACAAAAAAGTCTCGACCAAAGCAAAGAGAATAAGCAAAGTCATCTACAATTATTCTTAGGTTTATGCTTTGATGAAGAAATTTCATAAAAAAGAACTTATACGACCTGTCACAACTCAATTAATTATGGTCTGTTTGACTCTACAAAGCAGGTTGAAAGCTAGGCAATCTTTTGAGGCTATGTTCATGTCCGTAGTATGGCTTAACTATGCTTAGGCAAATAAAGCTGAGGGCAAAGAAATTAGGAAACGTATTCAAACTAAAAGATTTTGGCTAAATGTTACATATGAACAACAAGAAAACCATTGATTCAAGTTCTGAGGACGAAGGATGTAAAGAAAAAGCTAGCTATAGGATTCATTTATAATGTAATGGAGAATGGACGATACTAAAGACTTGATAGTCCATAACTTATAAGGAGATATGTCCAGGTATAAGTAGATTTGGGAAATCATTAATGAAAAGTGGGAGCTTCAACTCCACCATTTACAAATTGTTGGACATCATCGTAATTGTCAATTCCAATATGCTGAGAATAAGTCGACGAATCTTGAGATCAAATTAGGACTATACCATCTTATGAATAGGTTGATTGCTGACTCAACTAAGAGGGTGAATGCTTATATGCATTCTGTACTATTCAAGAATAAGAAAGATTTCTTTGGACTACAAAAAGACAAAGATACAGTTAAAAAATATGCTCTAAGTAATGTTTAATATTTATTGATTGAAATAAAGGACTCTCTCAACTCTAACTGCATATTTTTCTTTGAAATTTTACTCAATGGTGGATCCAATTTGGTGATGACATTTTAGAGCTATAGCCTTTTATTATTAAGATAATAAGATTTACATGTTCATTACCTGGATGTGAGCAAAATTGGATTAAATATAATCAAGTTCACAAGAAAAAATCAAAAATCGTCTAACAACCTCAAGAATTGACTCTTTGATATATATCTTATACAAAAAGAGAATGAAAGAAAAAAAAATGAAGAAAAGAAGTTCAAATGATGGAAAGGATCCCTTATTTTGTGAGTATATTCCATCAGATGATGAATAAGTCGTGGATGATGATAAAGGACTCACACCATCTGATTTGCAACAAAATCTAAACGTTCATTTTTTTTATGGGGAAATAAATAGGTCAAATATATCAAATACAAGCTAGCAATAAATAAAAAGAAAATATATCTATAAAAATTTTGACATATGATATTGTTTTAAATTTTAATAAACATTTTTTATTTCTTTTGATTATTCTTGATAAAGGAAGAGGAAGATAATTGAATTAAAGAGAAAGAATGAGAGAACTTGGACACAACTAAAGATGAGGTATCAAAGAAAGTTATTCATTATGATGATGATTATAATGAAGAAACCAAGATTGATGAGTGTGATGAAGACTTTTGATTAATTACTTATTATATTCTTGGTTGGATGTTGGACAATATGAGTAATAGAGATAAACTTATTCTGTTAAACTTATTTCTAATTGTTATATTTTGAATTGTTATGCTATAATCCATACTCCTTACTTTAATATGTTAAGTCACTTGATGTTTCAATAACACTTCTATTTTACACAATTTATTACTTGATACTTCGCTGCTGATGTAATTTGTCACTTGATATATATGCAGCATTGTACTGCTTAGTATGTTAAAAAAGTTAATATGCTATTTTTTTAATATATTAATAGGTTATGATGCCAATGTATTACTTCGTATCAATAATTTAACTTTACACATTTTTTTATTATGAAGCTTATCCTCAAAACACCTTGAGAATTATACCACACCTCACAGATGAAAAATGCCTAAATACCTAATTGAGCAATATTAAACCTCGATAAAACCATTAGTAGACAAACTTAATTATGGGTAGAAGGTTTCATAATGCTTACTTTTTTCATTTCTATTTATAAGAACTATTACGTGCTAGAAATTAGCAGCAATAGAGATCGAATTTTTATGTAAACTTTTCACAAAGATCTAATCTAACACAGATAACAAAAAAGAATGAAGTATACACCAGAATTTTTATGTGAAAAATCTAAAAAGGGGGAAAATCAAAAAATCCAACCCATATGAAAAGATCCACTGTGTAGATGCGTTCCAAAAACTGCTCTCCCCCTCAAAGATGATGGGATTACAAGTTTGCATTTTTATAGATATGAGGGAGAATATTGAAAATGTAATAATTATATGATGTTCATGATGGTTAGATAATGGAAGTCACAAAACTACAATTAAAACATGGTGGTCGAATGAGAGCAACTGAGTGATGCTAGCAATCAAGTGATAGTGTTCGGAGGTCAAATGATGGCAATCAAGTGACAAACGAATGACATAGTTGGGAGATGGAAGTCAGACAATGGTTATTAGGCTATAATGCACCGACACTTCTCCTCAAAGAGGTACGTAGCGTATGACACATATCGAACGCGTACGTATCAGACAAGTTGAAGACATGTCAGATTAAACAATATTGAAATAAATTGGACATGAGTTTTAAATATTTTATGAAAATTTTTTAATATAATTTCTTCTATTTTAAATTTTTAGTTAATAAAAAATGAAACTAAATTTCTTATTTTCTCTCAACAGTCCCAAATCAATTGTCTGCACTCAATATCGCATTAACCAAACATTTCCATTTTCATGTCTCTCTAGTATATGGCGACTAGGGTTTCACAATAATGCCTGATGCCATTGCAGCATCAACTTTGATCGATGACACAACATTAATGTTTCAAAACCATCTCAAAATCAAAATTTGGAGCCAATAATTTCTACACCCAAAATCAGGCTCTTGTGCCGTCTTGACATTTTATCTTTATCTAACATCATCTCAATATAGACAACCGATGTCGTCTCGACATTGACACTCGATGTTCAACTAATGATATCATTATCGTCTCCCCTCTTGATGCTTGAAACAGAACATTAATACCCAACTCTCGCATCTTAATGGAAATCATTTTAAGCACACATCCTAGTTAAATGATTTATTAATTCTCAATTATTCATAATATTTTATTTATTCAATTTCTATACAATATTTTTAAGATATCAAAGTAATAATATAACATCCAACCCAAGTCCGTGTCTTATATTTTTTTTACTTGTGTCCCGCGTCCATGTCGTGTCATATCAGTGTCATCATTTCCATGTTTGTGCACCGTAATTGTCAGGCGATAGAGACTAAGAGATAGTGGGGAATGATGACAATTGACTGATGGTATTCAGATAATGATAGCTAAACAAAAGTGATCGGTGGTCAAAAGATGGTACTCAATCAATGGCTAGATGATGAGAGTCAAAAGATGGCAGTCAAATAATGACAATTATGTGACAACAATGTCTAGTGGTGATCATTAGCCTCGAATGTCAAATAATAGAGCTCTAAAGTTCTTCAAATCTCCAAGTTCTCTCCCAACTCAAGTCAATGTCACTTTCATATAAAATTTGAGGTATATTTATAGTACCTTTAGGGTGGGCATTTTGATAAATTTAGCCAATATCGTATAACTCTATTGGATGACCCATGTCAAATCATTTGATAATAGATCATTATTCAACATTTAAGTACTTTAATGATCTTAGAATCAAGTGATCTTGGGTTTGTTGATTTATCTCATCGAGCTGTTTGTTTTGATTTGACCATAAGCATGCAAGACTCAGAGACTATTTCATCCTCCAAATAATGTCCCAAAGTTTTTTAATATCTTTCAAGTGATTGATTTATGCTCATTTGGACTCAGCTAGGATCACCTTTGGTTTTCTTTGATTGGTCTTGTCAAGACACTCAATTTGACTACAAGTTTATTGACATCGAACTATGGATGATTCTGAATTTAATTATGAAAATTATCAATATAAAAATTGTATCAAGATTCGTGTTGATCAAAGTAAATTTTTTTAAGACATATCAATAGCATTTTTTATTTAAACTAGATGAACAAATGGTATTTAAACAACATTTGACAAGGGCCTAATCATCCCCTTCATGTTCCATTTGTGCATTAGTTTAACCTTTGCTATGATTAGCCATGCCAAGGCATATTAATATATTTTGCATTACCTTGTGCTCGATAAACGGTCCTTCATTGCTTTCTCTAAGATGTCAATTTCCACTATAGCCATCTTAATCTTACATGCACTCGTCTTGATATTTCATAAGCATGACCCATTGCAAACAAAATGTTTGAACCATATTTATAACCCATTAAACCCGCAAATACATTAACTTGACCATTCGCATAGCTATTTGTTAAATTTTCAGTGTCATGCCAAATGATACTAACTAACAAATCTAAAAGCTAAAATTTTAAATTTAGGACCAAGAATGCATTCTATAATTTAAAGCCCATCTCACATTGAAAATTCTAATGAATATGCTCACCATAAGTTTGTTGTATTAAATAATTAACAAAACCTCAACATCTCATGTTAAATCTAGTAATTAACCTAAAGGATATTCTTATAATTAAATAGCAGATTTATACTGAAGCACATTGCACTAATCACTTATCAAGAAAATTACTTTGGTCGCTTCTATTTGTTTTGACAATCATGTTCTAGTCATACCAGTATGTATTTCTACTCTTCAGTGGAATACATCAAAGACGTGTAGCTGAAATCAACTGATGATTTATCCATTTAAAAATTGAATAGTGAAACAATATCTAATTGACATTCTAACTTTCTTGTCCACCAATTGTAGAAATATATAGGGGGGGGGCATGCTTTGTGTTTATTTAATCAATTTCGAACCAAAATGAATTAATATTGCTTGAAAATATTAAAAGCATGGCATTTCTCTAGAATATTCATAAAGTATGAAATCTACATGTTAAGGAATAAAGAATATTAGCTCCTATTTGAAATTGAAATTTTCTTAACAACAAAGAATAAAAGTTTAATATTTTTTCAGGCTTAACCATGTAGGCCATTCCAATCCATCACCATTACTTATAGTCAGTGCTCTATCCAAGCCATTCAACTATAAAGCTAAAAAAAACGAGAACACTAAAAACGAGCATGCAAAAACAATGTGGATTTTTGCGTAAGTATCGGCATCTTTCATTCAGGTAAAAGTAGTAATGTACTAGTAAAAGATCAAACAGTACTACTAGCTGAAAAAAAAAAGTTCAGTAATAAACTACTTCTCTTTCATAAGGTACGATTCAAGAAGTATGTCCTAACACAATTCAACTTTTACATGCTCCCAGGGCTGGAAAAAAGAAGTCTCTATTGCAATCAAGAGAGCCACACAAAAAAGTTAAAAATCACACTTCCACTCTTTACCATAAAATCAAACCAACCCTAAAAAATCAAGGTACTTCTAAAAGCGCCACCATGATGCAAGTGAAAAAACGAAGGAACCAGTAAAGAAGCTCAAACCAGATAAAGGTATCGACCTTTAGTTGAAGGAAAAAACAAAACAAGGGACGAGGCCTGTCTACAAAAGAAAATGGCACAAGGAACATACTGCAATTGGATTTCTCCCAGGGCTTCATGCAAAGAAATTCTTATGAAAATTCCTCCAAGTTTCAAAAGAGAATATTTTACCAGTAAGGTAAATAAGGTGAATAAGGATACCTAAACACTTAGCACTTCCAACTAAAACAAGCAAAGGCCAACATGCTCCAAATAAACATATGATGCCATCAATTACACAAGCTCAACAAAATTCCATAAACTTAGATAAGTACAAACTATTACCCCGTTCTTTGCCTCAAATGGATGATCATCGTCAATATGACAGCAGAGACCAACGATATCAAAATCCTCGTCACATAACGGACAGGGGAACTCCGGCCTCCACTCGTCCTCGTCCCCTTCCATCTCCTCGAACCCCAGGTACTGATCTACAAACTCAAACAAAACCAATAAAAATCTCTTCTAAAAAAAACAGAGCAGTGCGTTAAATCAATCTAATTGATCAGAAACCCGCCATATCGCGATTGCAAGGTCGACTGGTGTCGCTTCGATGCCGCCGATATCCTGCTCCACGAATCGGAATCCATCGCCTCCACTCCGAAAAAAAGCCCTAACTCAGCTCTCCTCTACCCACGCTAATGGTGGATGTTGTATTCTTCAACAAACTATCTGCCTCGAGTAATACTGAGTCAGAAAGAGATAGAGAGGAGTGAGAGAGATTCTTTTCTCGGAACTCGCTCAAATAACAGTACAGCGTGTGAAAGAACTCGAAAGTGGGAGAAGGAGAGAGAGAGAGGTTCTTGAGGACTGACGAGGAAGAAGATCAGCATAGAACAGCCGACCAGTTAGTGGCCGGTGGGTGACGGCGTTACTATCCAATGTTTCCGCATAATCAAATCTATGCGGATTAAAGGCTCTGTCATTCAGCTATTGATCAGAATGGACGGTGCTGATTATTTTGTTTTTGGGAAAAATTAATGGACGGTAATGATACTTTCACGAGTTAGACAAATGATGGACCAATGTGAACGGAATAATAATTATGTCCCGATATATTTTCATATAAATTATGTTTGAACAAATTTCATAATAACAAATTTATTTTATAATTAATGTTATAAATAAAACTTAGGGCATCTCCAACGAGCAAATGTTATTCACATATCGTCTATTTGTAATTAACACAAGTCTCCATCTAAACAACAAAAACGTATTTTTCATTTTCTTTTCACTAGAGCAGTATGACACTAATATTGGTGTTGTACTGTTCAAAACAATAAAATGATGTTCAGTTAGCCTTTCAATTTGACATAAATTTAAGGCATCTCCAATCGAGCAAAATGTCATTCGTCTGTCACATATTTGTAACTATCATAAGTCTCTACCTAAACAACAAACAGAAACGTATTTTCCATTTTCTTTCCACTGTGAGCAGTGTGACGCTAACATTGACGTCATACTATTCAAAACATAAAAATGATGTTTGGTTTGTCGTTCAGTTGGACATAAATTTTAGAGCATCTCCAATTGTGCAGAATGTAATTCGCCTCTCGCATATCTGTAATTATCATGAGTCTCCACCCAAACACCAAACAGAACCGTATTTTGCATTTTCTCTCTCCTGTGAGCAGTATGATGCCAATTGAAAGTTCGTCGGGGATGTTAGGCCCTTATGAACTAGTTACAAGGCTAACCAAGAGAGGGGGTGAATTGGTATTTAAAAATTTCTCCAAACAAAATCACAAACACGACCAAACAATCACCACAGAAATTAAAGTGATGAAATTAAATGCGAAAGAATAATAAGAAAGAACACACCATATTTTATAGTGGTTCGGTCAACTTGACCTACGTCCACTCCCCGGAGCCTCTCCTCCGGGTATTATACTAAACTCAGTGTCTCTCCTTTTGCCTCCACAGCAAGGCTGAGAAGCCCGTACAAAAACTCATTTCCACCAACCCAGGTGAGGCAGAGAACCCAACTCCTTTTTCTTCCTCCTGAAGCAGGCAGAAAACTCAACTCCTTTTGCTTCCTCCTGAAGTAGACCTCTCTCGAACCTCCAAGGAACCAGAGACGACGACCGAAGAAGACGACTTGGATTCTTGCTTGGAGCAACCTTTATAAAACCCCACACAAAGTCCTCTCTCTCTCTCCCCCTTGCTCTCCCTCTCCTTTTGGCTCTCTCAGGTCATGACAGCAGCAAAAGATCTCCTCTTGAGAAAATAAGAGATCTTTTATACAAGGGCTCCAATTTTATCCTAATTTACAACTAATCGTCAAATATCGTCCAGGATGATCGACCGATCATCCAGTACGATCAGTTCAAATTTAGCACAATCAGCCAGGATGATTTGGAAGAGTATGGACGATTAGAAAGTTTATTTATTCATATCATCTAGAATGATAATATATCGTCATGTACTTTTAGTTCAATTCGTCGAATATTATCCATATCCTTGCCCTGGATGGATGTCTGGACAATGAAAAAGTAACTTGATCATCCGGGCCAATTAGTACAAAAAGGCACATATCATCCAGCATATCGCCCTGGATGGATGTCTGGATAATGAAAAAATAACTAGATCGTCCAGGCCGATCTCACGATCGTCCGGGATAATTAGTATAAAATATCACATATCGGCCAGAACATCGCCCTGAATGGAGTCAGGCCAATTATGGATCATCCAGAAAGAACTAAGATTTGTTAACTGATCATCCTGGATGATCCTGGGATCATCTAGGACGATATGATCGAGCAATTAAACCTTAATGTCTTTCCTTAAATATCAAACTAATTTAGGCATAATTATTGTGCATTGTCCAAGACGATGTATTGGATGATGTCCAAAAATAAAACATGCCTAAAAGGGTTTGGCGGCTAATTCTTTTTTATTTACTCCCATTATCCTTGACGATGATAATATCGTCCAGGATGATTTGCTTAATTGCGATTACCTTAACCAGAATATCTTAATTATGATTTCTATTTTTAACTAATCATCCAGAACGAATTGGGATCATCCCGGATGATATGATCGAAAATAGAAAACTCTAAAACAGTCATAATTTTCCCTCAAGTGTGTGTGTGCAATGTTACATAGCATCAGAACCCATATTATTATAAAGGACTCAAGAAAAGGTAAAAAGCCATTACAGATTGACTCACCCTTAGTTTACTCAATCTTGAGCTGGCTTGATTTGCACTCGACCTTATGGACCTGAAACGTTAGTAGGCAAGGCAGTCGTAGAAAAATAGAAGTAACAAAAATGTTTACTATCATCAAAATTATATTTTTTGAAATCAGATTCGCAATAATCTCCCCCTTTTTAATGATGACAAACAAAAATAATTTAAACAGTTCAATTGAAATATCACAAACAATTAGTATAAATTAAGAAGTTCAAATTTTACGAAAAAAAATAAATATAATACAACTAAGCAGCGTAAAATAGTACAATTACTCCCCCTTTTGACATCACAAAAAGGATAAGGGAATAAAATAAAAAAAATATAAACTACTAAAAAGAATAAAGTACATCACAGAAAAAATAACACTAGAAAATAAACTACAAGTAGGATGGCCCCTGATCATTCGAAGGTGGTGGTGGTGGTGGCTAAAAGTAGCAAACTGCTGCCCAAACCAGGTTATATCTTGGTTGTTCTGGCGCTGCTGGTGAGCCATGTAAGAGTCAAACAGAGCAACATCCTCCGCATGTTGTTGCTCCTGTGTAGAAACGTAGGACTCGAACTATGCCTCCCACTGGTCGAACCGCTCCACCAGCTGAGAGTGCGTGTGGAGCGGAGCAGGTAGAGGAACAAGTGTAGTAGCTGCCTCCTCTACTCCCTCAGCTACGTCGTGCTGTAGGTGGAGATGAGTACTGTGAAGAACTTGAAAAGAGTTATTGGTGCAGAAGGCTGTCTGAAAGTTTGGAGGGGCTGGACATTGAAGGTTGTATTTGGATTCCAAGACATAAGCTATGATGTGTCTGAGGGCAAGGTTAGTCTTCCTCCTATGTCCTAGATCCCTAATGTTTGTGAGGTACTCAATGTAATGGAAAATCAAATTAGTCACATTAAACTTGTGATGAGCCATGATATAGAAAGTAGTGATTGAAAGGATTGGAGTAATATGAACACAATCACCGGCTTTCGGAAGTACTGAAGTATGAATAACATGTTGGATTATCCTAGCATCTTTGAGTAAGCTGCTAGACTCTCCAACATGATAAGAGACAGTTGTGTTCCTTATAAAGTGATTGGCCGGAGCCCAGTTAAAATAGGGGTCTTGAGACAAGAGGTGAAGCTTATCTCCTAAGGTGGACAATTGTAAGAGCTCGTGATAATCTTGATACATGATCTCAACAGGACGCTTATTAATATAAGACTGGAGTGCAGTGAAGTAGGAGTTGATTCTGAGGCTAGCAAAAAACTCGAAAAGCATTTCATAGTTAAAAGAAACGGCAAGCATAAGGATAAAAGTTAGAGAGGTGTGCGCAAAAAGGTCGAGCATAAGATAAGAAAGCATACTCGGGTTGATACTCTAAGATAAGGTGATCCCAACTGTCTTGTAATGGAGATAGGCGGCTTGGTCAGCCACCTCAATGAAACGAGGGTTAAGGTTTGCCCTCGAGGAACTTCCAGCAGGCATACGAGAACGTTTGCCATCAGCCATGAGCACGAAGAATAGATAAATAGTGAAAGCAATGATGAATGGAGAATACTTGGGTGAGAAAAAATGTTTCCAATCCTCAGTTTAAAATGATCGCAGAATCATCCAGGACGATCATGTGAAATAATTACGTCCGAGACGATTGGTTAAAAAAGCGATAATATCATCCAAGACAATCAGACATTGTCCATGACGATAAGACACAAACGATCGCCCCGAGAACTCATGCCGGATTACCATTGAAAAAGTATATCATCCGGGATGATTAGGTGGATCATCCAGGATGATCGATAATAATTGATCGTACCGGCCAAAATAAAAACATGTATCAAATTTTGCCACGTGGATCGTCTAGGACAGATAGGTGGATCGTCTAGGATGATCACCAATAATTGAGCAGAAGTAGTGAAGACCTTCCAGGACGATTATAAATAATTGAAGCAGAAGACGATCATATCGTTCATGACGATATAAATATTGTCTATGATGATGTGACCAAATATTGAAAATTTGGAAATGGATGGTGATGATCAGAGAAGATCCAAAAATAAAAAAAATAATAATAATAAAAGATAAAAATAAAATATGAAAAAGACAATAAAAAAAGATAAAAGGAATGAAAACAAAGTTTTTTTTTGTTTAATCAAAGCACGAATATGATAAATTCTCCATGTGATTGAATTAAAAATTTATAAGAGAGTTAACATCACAAAATTCAAAAAATGGTAGAATAGCCGATCTTGTTAGCCCTAGCTCGGACTTCTCTTAGGATAAATCGTCTTTTAAAAATAAAAGACCTAACTCAGAAAAATCAATTGGATAAGAAAAAAAGATATGTTCCGGAAAAATATCTTATAAAATAATATACCAAAATAATTTTTCACAATTACAAAATTCAAAATCAAGCCTTTGAAAATATCAAGTGACACATGAATTCTTCTAAGATTTAAAAGCTTGAAAGAGAAGGAAGCTTGCCTTTTGTGAGCTCATTTTATGTCTCTTGTCAATTGATCGACGCACTTATGCATTTTTTAATTTTTGATATACTTTGTATATCTTTCAATTTTTTTGCGGTCAATGCGCATCTTTTCATTTTTTTTTCTCTTTGGGGCTCATTTTATGCCCTTGACATTTTTACAAGCAAGATCTATTTTGAAACTCTTAAATACTCTCAATTGAGAGTATATCTTCCAGATATTAGAGAAGAAA